TCGTAAGAAAAATAAGTATTTGCATGTTTCTACTAAGTTATATAATAAGAAATTCAGTTAATTAATTTGTAATTTTTTGAAAATAATTAAATTTTAATAAAAAAAATGTTAATTAAAATATACTAAAAGCGCAATCATATGTTGTTAAAAAAAAATAATTTGCGTAAATTGTGATAAGAAAACTTACATAAAATTTTCATAAACTAATGTTTCTGTTAGTAAATTGTTGTAACGGAACAAATACCAATGATTTAACAAACCGTTAAATTTACGCAAATTATCCTAAGGAAAAATCACTAAATTTTATTACATTTTCATAAGAAAAGTAAGTATTTGCATGTTTCGACTAATAAGTTGTAATTTTTTGAAAGAACTGTCATTTAAAAAAGAAAGTAATAGCAAATTATACTAAGAAAAACTTACTCAAAAGTCCGTATACTATTGTTTATACCATTAACATGTTGTAACGGAACAAATTGTTAAATTGCATTTTAATAATGTTGGTACGTGATTTAAGCGCTGTTCAAAAATTTGCACAAATTATCTTTGTATCGTAAAACACTTTTGTTCATAGCAGCAGCCCTTTTTTCGGGTAACCGTCAATTGTAATAGTATGTTGTTAAAAAAAAACTGTTAAATTTACGCAAATTTTACTAAGAAAAACTTACTCAAAAGTCCGTAAACTATTGTTTATACCTTTTTTCCGGGTAAGCGTCTCGAGGGAGGCAATTAAATGGGTAATTTGAAGTGACCAAAAATTTCAGTTTTACGAAAATATCCAAAAAAACATCGGCGACGTTTTTCTACCATTAACGCTCCAAGCCCCAACACCGATTTCCATAATTACAAAGAGACATACTGTTAGCAGTGGCAATTAACTTCAGAGGCGTCTGGAAATATTAAGAACAAAACCCTTGTTTCACGGCGGTAATGGACCTCCATGTGTGGCGATGATAGCTGAAGATGAGTGACGTTTAGAGAAACTTTAAAAGATTCCTTCACAAAAAAAAACAACATCTAGTGTGAACGTAAAATAGTCTAGAATAGTTGTCAAAGGAAAACAATATCAAAACAAAATGAAATCAGACTGTAATGGTTACATCATTACGTAAACACAGGCAAAGTTCCAACATTTTATACTTATTGACAAAGAATAAGAAAATTAAAAAAAAATAACAAGTATATTTATAATACATGATTTTATTTGTAAGTAATTAACAAAAAAAGTTAATTAACATTTCATAAATTAATTGTCTTCATAGAAAATGTAGTAACATTAAATTTATTTGTTTCCAGAAATTACTTTTTTAATAATTTTTACTTTACATAAGAATTTTAAGATAATGAAGAAAAAAAAATCAATATTTTAATCACTGTTAAAATGTTATTTATTATTTATTTAGAAAATAATTAAGCAAATTGACTTTACTGTAGAAATTAAATTTACAAAGTTTTTTTTGTTTGTACAAATCAATCAATATTTATACTATTTTTTTCCTTACTTAGAAAATTATTTAATTCATACGTTTCTATCAATAATTTCAGGAAAAAGATCGATTTCTTAGTGTAAACATACAAATAATGTGATTGCAAAATATTATTGCGAACGTTAATTAACACTGTAATCACGTATTTTTCATAATTAAAATGTAATTTTCCGTTGTTAATGCAACCAATATTGTTTTTTTGATAATTTCCAATCGTTAGGAAAAAAGACCAAATCAAGATATGACACGTACGAGATTTTGGAAGCGATTTGTCTTATTTGTCCACAACTAATTGCCATGCATTTCCAAATCTCCATCATTAGCGTTTGTCACGTCCAAAAGATTTATTTATTTAAACTAATAAAATAATGTAGATTTCCATACAAAATTTCATTTACAATATATATTAAAAGTTCATTAAAGTTATACTAATTATCTAAAAATTTGTTATATAAAATGATGGTTTTTCTTTGTCTATAACAGGGGTGGCCAGACTTTTTGCATCAAGAGCCGCATCTAAACTTTTTGGTATAATAATTTTTAAAAAATCTCAATCATAATATAAAATATATATAATATTTGTGTTTATTTTTACAGATTAATGGAAATACAAAATAAATTTATTATAATAAAAAAAAACTAAATTCTTTTTTTTTGTGGAAATTTTAATATTTTTACCCAAATTTATAGTATAAAGATTTTATCCAAAAATTCAAAATTCTTTAACACAAAAGTTCGTTTTATGAACGTAAGTTTATGTCTAGACGGATAATAAACTTTCCTTCTTGGAAAAGTTGCTATAACTTAAATCGCTTCATTCATAAGTATTAAATTAATACATGTCTTCCTAGGAAAAGTTGTAAATTTTATGTTAAAACTTTAATCGCTTTATAATAATTAACTATAATTTTGTGGACGGAAGGAAGTTAATCCATGAAAATAAACTTTCCTTCTTGTAAAAGTTGTAAATTTTATGCTATAATATACATCGCTTCATTCATAAGTATTAAATTAATCCACGTGCTAATAGAAATAGTTGTAAATTTTATGTTAAAACTTTAATCGCTTTATATTAATTTTTCCCTCAAAATTATATTATAATTTAGTGGAAATTCATCAATTATTTTAATGGAAAAAGTTGTAAATTTTATGTTAAAACTTCAATCGCTTTATTCATAATTGCGTGGAAATTCATCAATTGAAAAAGTTTTATGGAAATAGAAATATTTTTACACTAATTTATAGTAGATATTTAAAAAAAATTCAATTTTTTTCAACAGGAAAATGTCGTTTTATGAACGTAAGTTTATCTCTAGACGGAAGGAAGTTAATCCATGAAAATAAACTTTTCTTCTTGGATAAGTTGCAAATTTTATGCTTATATTTAAATCGCTTCATTCATAAACATTAAACTAATCCACGTCTTCATAGGAAAAGTTGTAAATTTTATGTTAAAACTTTAATCGCTTTATATAAATTTTATCCTCAAAATTATTTTATAATTTCGTGGCTCAAAAAATTCAATTTTCTACAACAAAAAAGGTTGTTTTATGAATGTAAATTTATCTCTAGACGGAAGGAAGTTAATCCATGAAAATAAACTTTTCTTCTTGGAAAAGTTGTAAATTTTATGCTCAAACTTAAATCGCTTCATTCATAAGTATTAAATTAATCTACGTGATAATACGAAAAAGTTGTAAATTTTATGTTAAAACTTTAATCGCTTCATTCAGAAGCATTATACAATTTCTTGGAAATCTATTAGTTATGTTAATAAATTTCCTGCAATCAAAAAGGTTTTGTCTGTAGACGGAAGAAACTAAAAGGAAATGGAAAAAAAGAAACTTTCCTTAGAAAATTTACAAAATTTATGCTAAAACTTAAATCGCTTTTCTTAATAAAATCTAATAAATTTCCATAACAAAAGTTAAATACTTTGTCAAATAAATCATTTCTACTTATATTCGATTGATTTTTACTAAATTTTCAAATATTTTTTTTATTAGAAAATTTTATCAAAAATACGGTTAATCTATATTTTCATGATTTGGTTAAAACTTTTACATCACCGCTACAGCAGACAATCATAAATTTTAGTACGGTCACGCGACAAAGTTTCCGTTTTGGTTTATTCATATTTTCTTAGTCTTCCTCATTCATTTTCTCACACTTTTAAAATATTTTTAATTAAAAAAAAATAACTCTTCAAAAATGTATATTAATTAACGGAAAAGTGTATAAAAGAGGACATTTTCAACGTCTAGTAACAAATTTTACCCATTGATTTACAATTTTTCAGAAAACGTTAATAAATAAGTTTTTAGATTATTGCACAATTAGTAAAAAAAACTTTGTAAATATTTAATTACATCAAAAGTATTCGTTTATTACGCATATTTTCATCTAACAATTATTACGTAATATTAATTAATGGCAATTTACTTCACTTTATACTTAATTACTCATTATTTGTACATGCCAAATCAATAAAAATATTACTTAAAAGTTTTAGTAAATTCTCAGTATTCCCAAGTTTTATACTCTTTGGCGTCAAAATACAAAAGTTATACGATTTTACAGACACAATTCAAAGAAAATGTTATTTTTTTTTGATGATTTTGAATAATAATAACAAAACTAAATTGCATTCTGCCCTGAAGATTTTTATTATATTTATTTATGACGTGCTGTAAAGCGATTAACTGAAGAGTTCTTTTTCTTCAAAATTCAATAATAAAATGCAGAATTCAATAAAACGCAGGTAATACAAGTTTGTCATATAATTTTTCTGTTAACAACAATATTTTGATTTTCATGATGGAAAATTATGTTCTTAAACTGTTAAATTTATTATAATTTTCTAATTACAGAAACTGTAGTAAATATTTTTTTTTTTTTTAATTTTAAGTTTTTTAGCATTTTGTTAAATACGTTTATAATGTTAGATAAAATTTGGCACAAATTAAGACAAATAAAATGTTTTAATACAAATATGCTAAAATTTATTTAAAAAACTTTGTGTTTCATTATTTTACTTAAAAAAAGTTAATGTAAACTTTTTTCACAATTATTTTTCAGTCATTCATAAATAGAAACTAACAATTTACTAAAAACTTTAATAATTAAAATAAAATAATAAATTTTACTAGTATAATAAAATTTATTATTATAAAATTCTATCATCAAAAAAAAAACACTAATGTTTTTCTATTATCATCTATTGTGTGTAATTGAAGAAAATCGAAAAATATTCGTAAATATTAATTATTTAAAACAATTGATAAATTTAATATATGTTGTACTTAAATACAAAGAAAGAAGAAAGTAAATATTCATGATTTAAGAGAAAAAAAACACAAAATGAAAAAATAAATAAAAGTTCCCAAACATCAACCAAAAGAAAATTGATAATTTTGTAAATATTTTTAGTAACCTACAAAATTCAACGCAAACGAAATTCATTGAATTGCAAACCAAAAAATATATACAGACAAAAACATCGTTAAAGTGACCGCATTTTACGACCCTCCAATAGGTGATTACGCAAACACCAGCAAACCCTCTCAGCTTTCACTGTTGACTGCTACGATCTACCTGCCACCCTCTTTCGCACCAATCCCTAGAGCCTCCAACCCTTGGACTTGCCAATAGGAGAAAATGGGCGTGTCCTCGTACCAAGGGTTGCTTAAAAGCACCACAGATCACCCAGAGAACCATCAGTCAACCAAGTTTTCGCATAGAGTGAACAACAACTTCATCCCTCGAAACGTGAAAACAAATTATATAGTTGAAAAGTCTGTGAATATCAAACGGCTTGGTGATATTAGTTTTTGTGTGAAGTGTATAAAATATGTTTAACAACAATATGGATTTAATGCAGCAACAACATCAAAGGCAGCAGCAACAACAGCATCACAGAGAGTTATACTATAAAGGTAATTAAGAAACATCAAGTTAAGTTTAATTAAATGCTTCATTTTGAAGTACTTTGAATAGTTAAACATAATCATAATTACTAAAATATAAGTTTAAAGTCACTCAGTATAAACAATCTAACAAATTCTTCATTTGTGTTATAAATACATAAAAGTACAAGATTCTTCTTTACGTTTTACAATTTATCAAAAAATGTATGCATTCAATCACTAATGATTAGTATTTTTCTTCAGTATAAAACATAAAATAATCCAAACAAATACCTTCAAGTTTAATCCAATGATTTTTCTTTAATTTTCACTAATTACTTCTTGAGTCACAACAAACAGACTTAGCTTCGTCTATTACATTACTTGCTGTTTACACTAGATACAAAAATAATCACATGTTTCTATTTACATTGTTTACTGCATTACTTCATTAATTGTAGTCAAAATTAGCTTGTTTAATTTTGCATTCTCAAAAATATAAATATTTTCTCATGTTTTTTTTTTTCTGGATTTATAATCTAATAATGTGTTCTTTTCTGTTATTTCAGCAAACCAATTGCAATGCAAAATAAAGCTACAGAACGATGATCTTTGGGCCAATTTCCACAAGTTGGAAACGGAGATGATAATCACAAAATCTGGACGGTAAGTTTCAAAACAAAACATACATAAAAAAAACGAGATCACAATTTATCTTTGCGGCGGATTGTAAGTTTATACTCTGTAAAAAAAAAACAAAAGAATCGAGATGCGCGTGAAAAAGGGAACAGTGGTCGACCTTCTTCTTTTTTCTCCTTTCGCCCTCACGGTGGGCTTTTGTTCAAGGGGTGGCGCCTGTCACATTAACCCAAGACGCTCACCGTCTAGTCTTAACACTTGACCTGACCACTTGAGAGGCGGCAATCCTTCCAGTTAAAAGAGAGAGACAAAAAATTACTCGTAGAAGAGATGATTCCTAGGCTTCCGTAATGTAAGAGAGATGCACGATCAATCTGCAACTTCCGGAACGTGCTCCGCCCCAAATCCAGGGGATTACCACTGTGAAAACAAAGAATCATCTGGAGTTTTCTTTCTCTGATGAGGATAAGGAAGTCGTTGTTTTGATTGTGCCTGTTTTCGCTTCTGCGGGAGTCGCTTTTTCCTCCTCCTTCGGTTATCGGGCTTCCTAAGTGCTGTCGCATTGATAATTAACAATCGTAAATGACGTGACATTAGACAAACACATTTTTATTATGTTGATTGCGTTCGGTGTAGTAATGAAGTTTTTTTATTTTATTCCAGACGAATGTTTCCGACTTTGAGAGTCCAGTTGGAGAACTTGGATCCAAATGAGCACTACTGCGTCTACGTGGAAATGGCGACCGTCACAAAGAGTCGTTTCAAGTACTCCGCTTCAGGTGGTTGGGCTCCGGCCGGCGCTGAAGAAGCGCAGAGTCCGCACAAGATGTACGTGCATCCGATATCCCCGGCTCTTGGAAGTACTTGGATGTCTCAGATCATCTCCTTCGGCCGCCTCAAGTTGACCAACTGCACGACCCCACCGGTTGGTCACATGGTGCTATCCTCGATGCACAAGTATGAGCCGAGAATCATTATCGCCAAAACCTCTGATCCGATGTACGTGAGATGGTCTCCGAGCACCACCGTCGCCTTCCCTCAGACGCAATTCATTGCGGTCACCGCGTATCAGAACGACAGAATCACTAAAATGAAGATCGACAATAATCCGTTCGCTAAAGGTTTCCGCGAAAACGGGCAATCGAAATGCAAGAGGAAGAGGATACGTACTCCCGAAGATGATAATGATATTACCATAAAGAAGGTGACTACCGTGAGTGAGATCACAGTCAATGTCACAGACAGCGACAGCGACAGGACGAGCAGCCCGGAATCGACGTCCACCATGTCGCCTCCCATCTACAACAGATACGTGTACCCTCAGATCCAGCAGATCCCACAGATCCAGCAGATCCCACATATGCAGCAGATCTCACATATGCCGCAGATCTCACAGATCCCGCCGCCACCACCTATGGAATACTTCAGACAATTCCAACACGTATATCAGTACTATAACATGTACCCCGCGCGTCCGATAGTCACATACCCCCCCATCCATCCAACTTACTATCATCATGCGTACAATCTAACCGCCCCAGTCCAACCTCATAGTCTATCCGAAGAGAATACAGAGACGCCGAGGAAATTGACAGACTTTTCGATTAGAGCCATCACCGGACTTACATAAATTGCAAATGCTAACATACAAAGAAATGTATGTAGGATTTTGTTAAATTTTTATGAAAATTATAAAGCCAATGTTTCCTAATGAAAAGTTATATTTTATTACAAAAGAGAAGAGATATATATATATAAAAATTTTGAATTATTTTATTAATGCGTTTATAGTATATTTGTAAATAAATTCGATGTGACCAAATGTTTGTGATAATTAATTTATTAAATGATTTTAAATAAAACTTTATGTGAAAATACGTATTTCTTTTTATTTCATTTTTTTAATATTTATCTTTATCTGGACAAATCATTTGACAGATTCAATATTTAATCTAAATAACAATTTGACGAGAAATTTGATAGCTAATTACTTAATATTATCAAAAGTCAGACATTTCTAGTTGTAATTCAATATTGAAAATGAAATTCTATTAGATTGTCGAGAAACAAAGGAGTAGAAGTAGAGTAGAAGTAGAACACAAAATGTTGATACTTTAAATTTGACGGCGTATTACTAGTTATTGACAAAAGAGAAACATTTGTAGTTATAAACAATTTATTGCCTCTATTCTTAGCTTCAATTTTCATATTCAATATTGACAAGGACATTCGTTGTTATCGAGAAACATAGGATAATATAAGTAGGGCACAAAGTTTCGATACTTCAAATTTGATTGCGATTTAGTAAAAAATGAAAAAGTTTTCATTACAATCATTAATAGAATTATTTTTAAATGTGTTTTGTAGTTATTACCTGAAAAATTAGAAGATAATGAAAAAAAACACAAAATTTTGTACCTTCAAATTTCACAAGGAATTACTAAAAAATTGATGAGAGACACAAATCTTCCATTATTCACTATATATTCAACATTAAAAATGAGATTTAAGGTTATCAAGAAATATAATATGTAGAAAGACTACACGATATGTATTTAGTTTAGAACTGTCTCGAGTTAATAAAGATCACCAATCCAAGTTTAATCCTCTAAATATGCTGCTTAACTTTTATGAACTACATATGAAAAAGATAATTAAATAGATATAAAATAAGAGTAAAGTTATAAAACTTAGAAATAAAGTAATAAAACTAGAGATTATGTATACAATTTTTGCGAAAATGTTTGTATTCATAGAGGTAGACAGACACTGCATAAAGTGCGAAAACTGTTGGAAAGGTCGACCCAAAACGACAAGACATTCTAAAACGTAATAAAAATATAAAGATGTAAAAGGCGCTAACTGCGCTTTTGGGTTTAACGTGGGTCGCACGGGCAGGATTATGTAAAGGGTTCTTGAGATATTACCAATTCTGCTTAGGAAACCTTTTTTCAGGTTTTTCTCCAAACGCATTTAAACATAAATTTCTGGCGGCACTTGAAACTTAAAATGCAATTATTTGCGCACAGGTAGTAAGTACTTTACGTAAGTTCTGTCTCTCGCGGTTGAAAATATGCAAGAATTTGTACACACCACAATTAATTTTGTCTGTAGTAGATTTGGTGTTGATTTAAGGAATTAACTTTTTTCATTAGTACATCGATTTGATAAAAGATTGGATGAGTTTACGTCTGACTCATGAAGAATCTCAGACGAAAGGTTTGAGCATGAATCATCATCATCATCTACCTCTTGATGGAAACTACAAACATCTACAATTTGTACAGTTTTTTCATTTTTGAACATAATTGAATGCACATAAATTAAATTTGTTTATAATGACAACGTTTTAAACAAATTTCACAATTTAATTTTTTTTTAAACTTATTTTTCCACACAAAAATTTCAATCCCCAAAAAAACTATTTTTTTCACACACATCTTTGGCAAAAATCAACAAACATTTTCGACCTGAGGCCAAACTCTATTCTTCGACTAAGAAAAACAATCATTTCACGTACTCATCCATCCCTTAAAAATTCCCACCGATCCATTCCAACTACTCCTTCTTAACCCTGTTTAATTGTATTGTAAATACATTGGAGAATAGCAAACAGCAAACAAAAACACGATTTATCTAAACAATTCTTTCACTTACTTACAACAACTTCATCCCTTTACCTACCAAGCCTCCAACAAATATTGCGTAACACAAATATACATTTTGAATACTGCATTATCCTGTTTTTCTCATTGCTTTATCCCAACAACAAACATGATAAGTTTATAAAGTAATTACAACAATTCCAATTAATTATAATAATTAAAATAAAATGAAAACATTTAAAAAATTTACCAAAAAAAATTGTAGTATTTTTAAAATTTTCATAGCATAATTTTGAAAACTACGTTATAAATATTAAAAGTACAAACTGAAATTCGAATTGCAGATGTTTTAAAAAACTTGGTTTTCCCATTTTCAAAACATATTTTTTTTTTATAAAGACGTAATAAACGATGCACGTTGCAAACGTGATTTTGGTAAAGTTGCAGAAACGGTTACGACTGATCTTCTCGAAAGCAAAAGGTAAACATTTATGATTCAGTTATTATATGCATTTCAAATATATTTACGTGCATATATATTTATATATACTCATGATTGTTATGTTAGGAATTTCACGGTGAATTTTCCCTGTCTTATTTTTTCCAGTACTTTGTCGCAAAAGTTTCACAAAAAAAAGGTAGGTACTTCAATTTCATGCTAAGCATTTTACAGATGTAATAAATATGTGCCGCACCTAGCACATTGTCAAGCGAAACTGAAAAAAACCAGAAAAAAAAAATGTGTTGAAAAATTAAATTATAGCAGAATGTAACAGATTGTAAATAAAATTTATGAATTTTTGTAAATTATGAACTTTTTGTTTTCAAAATATTTTTTTACCTTTATTAATTGTTTTTTTTACTTTAATATAAATTTCATTGATTATTTATTTTTAGTGTTAAAACCTACTTTTAAGCAAATTAATAAAAAAATTCCTGTTTTATTCCATAAATAGACATTTTTCATTTATAAAATTGATTAAATTAATTAAAAAAAAGTAAATAATCTTTGTAAATAGAATTATTTTTTCTGCAATCAATAGTTATAATATGTAAAATAAATATGTAATTATTTTAATAAAGTTATAACTTTAATGTATTTTTTTTTAAGAAAATGTTAATACATAAGATGTGCAACTTTTAATAACAGATTTAATTTTTCTTTAATTGTTATTTTTATAATTGTAAACTAACAACTTTTAAAGTTTTCCTAATATCAAATAAATTACTAAACTTTGTAATTTACGATTTGTCCTTCTTCTCACATAAACCACATTTTACAGTTCTTAAAAAAAAGTGCGGATTTTTTTGCACCCACTTGAGAATTTTACGACGCCAGCGGTAAAGTAAAAAAAAGAAACTCAAACAGGCAAATTGCGCCAATAAAAATCAATTACCGTTAGGTGGATGTATTGACGTCCAGTAAATAATAAAACATATGAAAATTCCCTATAAAGGTTTTTCTTTGTGCGGGCGGTTTTTGCGGTTTATTTAATGTTGTCGTAGACGAGAAATGTCGCATGCCATTAACGAAGATAATGAGTATGCAAAGTGCCGATGGTGCCATTTTCTGGTGGCGCCTCGGATTGCAGGCGCCTGCCCTTTTTTTCCCTTATATCTGAGAGTGCATTCTACTTCTATTTCTCCTTAGGAGACGTCGAAGAGGCCCAAAAAAAAATTGGCGACTTTTTGACACTTACCGTCAACAAAGGGCGGCGGCCGTTGCCAGCCGGAAATACCACTTGAGATATGGTATATACCTGTGTATACGAGAGAGAGAGCCACACATTTACGATCTGGACCCACTTGAGATTTTATTACCTTTCCAAAAAATTCTCCTTATTCAATTCAAAAAATGTTATTGTCAGAGCAAAGTGTAAAATCGAAGCATTTCTCTTTTCGAGCACCTTTTTTACGCTTTTTTCGGATCTTGTTTGTTGTATTTGAATTAGCGTATAAGATAGATACAGGAGTCGTTACGAATGTCGACAAGTACCTGTACCTTTCCTAATGCATTGTTCTACTTGTATCTTTCATTTTTTGTTCTTGCTCATTGCTACGTTTCGGTGACAATCCCTCTTTCATTCATTCATTGACTTCACAAGGACATCAACCTTTTTTCCTGAAAATGGCGCGCCGCTGTTTCCTAGAGAAAAAGGACATTTCACACAGGAAATGATAACAGTGCACAATAGTGAATGATAAATCATAGACGTATTTCCATGGAAATATAGTAAAGCACTTAGAGAGGAAAATTGGACCTTGTCTCTACACTATGTTCCACTCGAAAAAGGATTTAGATACCATTCTTTTAGAGACATAATCAATCCCTCAAGCTACACGCATTATATTTCTACTTCTTGATTTTTTTTCAGTTAGTTCATTGGAAAGCTAAGATATTCAGCTGTAACTTGAATGTTCGATCATCTAATTCTCCAGTTTACAATTCTTGTTAAATTATGTGGTTATCCTGAAATCAACAAAAATGTGAAGATGCTTCTTTTCAGTAACGTCATGTTTGAGAGCTCATAGCAGACAAACGGATGACAGCAAAAAGCTCGTTGGAAAGAGAAGACTTTCAGATTTAATTCCTGTATCCTGAAGACATCGATAACCGTCCTCTATCGGTTACGTAATGAACATTATCCTGAAATGAAAACGTGAAAATGCTTCTTTCCAGTAGCTGATAGCAGAACAGAGGACAGCAGACAACTCGTTGACAAAAGATGATACCTTCAGCTTTGATTTGAGTGCTATGATATAGAAACATTAAAGACATGTACAAGGTATGAACTTTAAGACATAAACTTCCTAAATAATCGAAAACGTTAAGAATAATGTAATGTTTTTCAAGAAAGGTATGAGCGTAGATGAAAACACAAGGAAATGCCACGTTGGCAATATGCTTTTAATGCCTTATTAATTGTCAATGAGAATTGCGGTTCATCTCATCTGGCCTTTTCGTTAGGATGCGTGTGACCGTGACTATTTGCTTTCGTAATAACAATAATAAAGGGCGGGTAGTCGGCGTTCGTCCTTGGGGTCCCGAACGGAAGTCCAAAGTCGAAAATGATTATAGTGATTTAGCATTATCTTCCGTCGTCGCCTTGTTTCGTTCGTGAAAACGG